TTTAGAATGAAGACTTAGATATGCAACAGTCTGTGAGAGAATCAATAGGATATCAAAAATAATCTTAGTACTATATCCAAGCAGAATAATGGTAGTAGGTGGTACTTTCTATCTTTTAATAATGCATTTGAATTAACATTAATGGTCCTCAAATTATTCTACAAAATAAGAGCAACAGAACACTGGGAAATTCTTTTCATAAGGACAGTTACCTTGATACCTAAACCATGTATACACCCAATATGTAAGTGAAATATATGGCCATTTCATTATGAAAATATATACAAAGATTGTCAACAAAATATTTTCAACCTGTATCTAAGAACATATCAAAAAGATAAACTACCATAGGCTTCATGTCAAGACATGTAGGGGTAGATGAACCATTCAAAACCAATAAGTGTAATCTACCACTTGTACAAATTAGAGTCAAATTTCAGAAGTTCATCTTATTAGATGCAGAAAAGCCTTTGACAAAATAAACACTCCTTCTCGATAGAAGTCCTGGAGAGTTTGGGGGTGCAAGAGATATACCTCCAAATAAAGGATGCAATTCACAGAAAGTGTATAGCCCACATCACATTAAATGGAAAAAATTCAAAGCCTCTCTAATAAAATAGGGAACAATGCAAGTGTACTCACTTTCCCTATATGTATTCAATACAGTATTGAAATCTTAGCTTAAACAATAACAAAATGAAGAAGATCTAGAAGTAATTAATAGCAAAGGAAGGAATCAAAGATATGTTATATGCAGATGCTATGTTTTATATATAAAAGACTCTAAGAACTCTATTTAGAAACTTGTACAGTTGAGAAACACTTTCATGAAAGATAAAATTAACTAACAAAAAGCAGTAGCCTTCCTATATACAAATGAGGGAAAACTTATATGGAATTCAGGGAAATAATGTCTTTCACGATAACCTCAAAAAATAGTTTTGGGTAATTAGAACTCAAACAGTGAAAGACCTTTTTAACATCTTTAAGGCATTGAAGAAATAAATTGAAAAAGATATTGGAAGATGTAAAAAATATCTATGCCCAAATACTGCTCAATTGATATAGTAATGTACTGATTCAATGAAAACCCTATCAAAATTCTAACACAATTCTTCTCAGCTCTCAAAAACACAGTTTTCAGCATCATATGGACACAAACAAATAAAAAAATCACAATAGATTGAACAATCATGAAAAATAAAACTATAAACAATATACCATTCAAAGTTTTAAATTATACTACATTGTTTTAATAATCAGGTTTTATAAAATATTGGTATGACTGAAAAACAGACATATTCATCAAAAAATCAAATTGTAGATACTCACTTAAGTCCACTCATCTATTACACTCATTTTGTCAAAGAATCTAGAAAAATGCACTTGAAATATAAAGAGCATTTAATCCTAATCATACCTCAACTATGTCCAACAGACCACAAGTACCCAATGAAAAACGTTTTCTCCAGAGAGTCTCAGTGGAGATAAAGGTCACCAGGAATTCCCCATAACCACGTCTTGAAGGATATCACTAACACAACTCAATGGAAATTTGTATGTTCTTTTTCTACATAATGTTTAATTTTGTAATTTATTTTTATATATGATCTTATGGTATCTATATGTACATTTTATGTCTTCTAGAGTTTTGCTTTTGTTTTGTTCTATGCAATTTTTTTTTCAAATGGCCAAAAGATACTTACAGAAATGTTAACTTCTTTAGCTATCAGGGAAATGCAAATCAAAACAACTCTGAGATACCCTCTTTCACTTGTCAGAATGGCTAACATCAAACACAACTGATAGCTTATGCTGGAGAATTTGTGGAGTAAGGGGAACTCTCATTCATTGCTGGTGGGAATACAAACATGCGCAACCACTTTGGAGATCAGTATGGCCGTTTCTCAGAAAACTGGGAATCAACCTACCTCAGAATCCAGCAATACCACTTTTGGGAATATACCCAAAAGATGTTCAATTATACTACAAAAGCATTTGTTCAACCATCTTCATAGAAGCATTATTTGGAATAGCCAGAACCTGGAAACAACCTAGATGCCCCTCAACTGAAGAAAGGGAAAAAAAAGGTGGCACATCTATGCATTATAGTACTACTCAGAAGAAGAAAAAAAAACAATGACATCTTGAATGTTGCATGCAAATGGATGGAATTAGAAAACACTAATCTGAGTGAGGTAACCCAGACCCAAAAATTGAATATGGTATGTATTCACTCATAAGTGAATACTAGCCATAAACAAAGGACATTGAGCCTATAGTTCATGATCCTAGAGAAGCTAAGTAATAAGGTGAACCCAAAGAAAAACATATATAGACCCACATGTGAATTGGAAACAGATAAGATCGCCTGACAAAATTGGGAGCATGGGGACTGGGAGTAGAAAGAAGGGAGAAGGGAAGGGTTGAGGAGAACTTGAGGGAATGGGATAGTCAAGATGGAGGAAGGACAGCTATGAGAGCAAGGAATGAGATATCTTGATTGAGGGAGCCATTATGTGTTTAGCAAGAAACCTGGCTCTAGAAAAATGCCCAGGAGTCTACAAGGATGACCCCAGCTAAGACCCTAAGCAATAGAGGAGAGGGTGTTTGAACTAGCCTTGCAGTGTAGTCAGACTGATGATTATCTTAAATATCACCATAGAACCTTTGTCCAACAACAGATGGAAACAGAGGCAGAAAACCACATCTGAGCACTGGACTGAGCTACCAGGTTCAGTTGAAGAGTGGAAGGAGTGAGAATATGAGCAAGGAGGTCAAGACCATGAGTGGTTCACCCACTGAGACAGTGTGCCTGAGCTAATGGGAGTTCACCAACTCCAGCTGGCCTGGGAGTGAACTAGCATGGGATCAAACCCTCTGAAGGTGGTTGACAGTTGGGGCAGACTGAGCGGGGACTGGCAGTGGCACTGGGAATTGTCTCTACTGCATGTACTGGCTTTTGAGGATCCTATTCTCTTTGGATGTATACCTTGGTCAAAGTAGATGTAGGAGGGAGGGCTTGGACTTGCCTCAGGGCAGGGTGCATTTTCCTCTCTTAGGATTGGAGGAGGGAGAGGTAAGAGGGTGTGGAAAGTGAGTGGAAGGAGGAGGGGGTGTGGTAATTTGAATTGGTATTTTTTTAAAGTAATAAAATAATAATTAAAAATGTAAGCCAAAAATAAAGTCACACTTACAGGAATTCCCCATAACCATCACTTGAAGGATATCACCAACGCAACTCAATGGAATTTTTACATTCTTTTTCTTCCATAATGTTTAGTTTAAGAATTTATTTATTTTTATTAATGACCTTACGTTATCTTTATATACATTACACCTTCTAGAGTTTTGCTATGCTTTGTTTTATCCAATTTTGTGGGTGCAAAAGTGTGTCTTTCTCTCTACATATGTTGACTGTGCTTTTTCTTTGTCTGCATCTCTTCTCTTACCTGTCTGGTTTCTTTTATTCTGATTATATTATTACTTGTTAGATCCCTTTTGTTTTGTAAGAAGTGACAGAAAGTGAATAAATTCAGATGAGTAAGGATGGGGATAAACTCAGGGAATTTGAAGGATGAAAAATCATAGTCAGAATATATTTTATGAAGGCATCTATTTTCTGAATAAGAATAAGAGGAAATGTATCAGTCCTAGTGAATTTCCTTGATGTCTGAAATTTTATTAATCCCTTCCATATGGTATACATGATTCTCTGTGGACCGGTTAGTAATAACTCTTTTTGGTTTTGCCTTTTCTTCTTTCTTTATTAATTAGTATTGTGTCTTCATTCTTAATATTATTTAATTTGTTCATTTCAAGGGATTAAGATAAGATAAATAAGATAATATAATTTTATGGGTGCAATTTTATTGTACTTTGGTTATAGTCTTTGTATTAATTGCTTATCTGTTGTTGTGATCAAACTCCAAGATGAAGGCAATGTACAGAAGAGAGATATCAAGGATGATGAATCAGAGGTAGCAGTTTGCAAGGGGATAGAACAGCAGTGAGAGGTCTCATATAGAACCACAAGAGGACATAGATAGCACACTGTTGACATTAGAAGGCTTTAAAATGCTCTAAGCCAGTGTCCAGGGACATAGGTATTCCAGTAAGTTCACCTAAGTATACTAATTCAGATAATAATATATTTTTCTTTCTTCCAGTTTTATATTCTCATCAAACACAAGACTTATTTTCACAGGAGAATAGACAAGATTGTATCCAGAAGTTGGTATCAGGAATAGCTGTAAGTAGGGACTTTTAAACCTTCCATTTAGGGATGATTTTGATGTTTGGTGAAGAAAAAAAAAAGAATATGTCATGATTGAAATAATTTCCACTAATCAGCCATCATGGGTTGTACTAAAAATAAAGATCAATAATTTCTACATTATCTTGAAAGAGTTCACATTAGATCACATACAATTGTAGAAGCACTTTATTCAGTAAAAAAAATACAAATAAATTTTAAAACACGTTTTTTTCAACAAAGAATATTGAAAAACCTGAAAACAGACTTACATGTATTCTATTAAACATTCACTAGAATTTTCTCAACAAAATTACATTTTGTTACAAGCTATTCGTGAGATAAAACGCGAGAAGTTTTTCTCAATCAAATGAGACTGAAAATATAGAATTTTCAGACATGAGAAACGTTACACATTTAATGATGTTATTAAAGCCTTTTCTAAGAACTCTTAGAAGAATAGTTTCAAGAATCCTCTTCTTAAAGGGACAAAATCCCCAAAAATCAAATCACAGTATGTCTTTCCTCATTATATAAGTTCATAGAAGAAGTCTGTTTTTCCTAAGAGCCAATACATACATGATGATTGTAAGGATGATTTTGATTGTAACACACCTTCTTTTTGTTTCAGCATGACCAGAAACAAGGGAGGCATTATATAAACAATCAAAATGAAGAGAGACAAAACAATCATATAGAATGTGGAAAGTGCTTCAACAGATATGCATGCCCCACTATACATAAGAGAATTAATTCCAAAGAGAAGGCATGCAAATGTAAAGATTGTGGCAAGTCATTTATCTGTCATGCAAAATTAAAAGCTCACCAGAGAATCCATACTGGTGAAAAACCTTACAGTTGTCAAGAATGTGGCAAGTCCTTTACCCAAATTTCAGATCTTCAAAGACATTACAGAATCCATACTGGTGAGAAACCTTACAGATGTCAAGAATGTGGCAAGTCCTTTACCTGGGTCTCAAATCTTCAGACTCATCACAGAACTCATACTGGTGAGAAACCTTACAGATGTCAAGAATGTGAGAAATCCTTTGCCTGTATCTCAACTCTTCTATCTCATCAAAGAATTCATACTGGTGAGAAACCTTACAGATGTCAAAAATGTGGCAAATCCTTTACGCAGATCTCAACTCTTCTATCTCATCAAAGAATTCATACTGGTGAGAAACCTTACAGATGTCAAAAATGTGGCAAATCCTTTATGCAGATCTCAACTCTTCTATCTCATCAAAGAATTCATTCTGGTGAGAAACCTTACAAATGTAAAGAATGTGGCAAGTCTTTTGCCAGGGCCTCAGATCTTTATAAGCATCAAAGAGTTCATACTGGTGAGAAACCTTACAGATGTCAAGAATGTGGCAAGTCCTTTACCCAGGCCTCAGCTTTTCACACTCATCACAGACTCCATACTGGTGACAAGCCTTACAAATGTAAAGAATGTGACAAGTCCTTTCACACAAATTCAAGTCTTAGAAAGCATCACAAAATGCATGTAATGGGTACATTTCATGAAATTTCTTAGTATACCTCACATTAATTCATTGTACAGATCTTCATGCATTGGCCAACTTATTTCACAGACTCACATCCTTCAATTCATTTTTAAATCTTAGTCAATGCTTAGACAGCTACACAGTTCTTATGAATTTAGAAACATTGTATCCAGATTTGAACTTTATTGTCATCAAACATTTGTTGTAAACAGAATTTATATATCATTGCAAACATGATATTCAAGAATTAATTACTAGGAATAGGTAAATATTTCTCTAGTTGGAGTAAATTGAACAATAACATTTCTTTTTTTTTTATTTTTACAATAACATTTCTTGACTGTAAGTTAAGATAATGTGTGACAAAAACAGCCAATGTCAAACTAGTTCAGATTTTGATGCACATTTAATTTCTTGGCATATGGTTGCTTATGTAATGAGATTATACTTTATATAAACATTATTTTTCTTTGATTTTTGTGATTCTTAAATAAATATTAGCTTGTTTTAAAATTCAAGTCTTTTAACTTGTGTCTTTGCAACAAAACAGTGAAACATTTGTCCCAATTTTTATTGCATTTTTTTTCTGATAGTCTATGAACACTTCCTTGGAAGAGCTGGTAGGACAGAGAATGACACACTACATGGATTACCTTAAACTTTTATAATTGTGGTACAAATCAGTGTGAGGTAGATGGAAGATGTCAATGGGCATGAAAAACTGGACAAGGAAAAGCTACAAGGCAACAACATCAAAGATCTGTAGTCATTTAGGAAAGCAAGGAGTGGGAGAGGTGGCCTTCTCCAGAGAGAAACACATAAACTGATTTTCCAGTAAGCAATGGATAACATGCTTGAAAATATATAGAATTATAACATTTTATGGATTGGTCTTCTTGTAATTAGGAACATATGTATATAAAAATTTATGCACCAATATGGCAATGCATGAATAAAGGACATATACTTGAAAGAGAACAGATTGTGGTATTAGTAGAGTTGGTTATAGGATATCATAAGTACAAAATTAATCTTATTATTCTGTACATTTTAATTATATAAAATAAGTAATGTGTTTGTATACACCCCGTTGTGTCCCTGTTATACGCCCCATCTAAAATATTTGCCCTCACAATTCTGCAAAATTTTTCATCCTCTTTTCATATTTTTTCTAGATTCCATTTATGAGAGAAGACATGTGTTATTTGTATTTTGGAGAGTTGTCTATTTCTTTGACTTAATGATAACATAGTTGCAACAATTTCATTGAGACATATATAATTTTTCTATAATTTTATTCATTGATTATCTTGCATTATTTATGCATATTACATTTTCTTTATCCATATATTTAGATATATTGGTGGTTATCTAAGCTCATTCCCTGAATCATCTGTTATATGAAGTGCAGTGATAATAATTACACACAAACTCATGTATATGTGATTCAGCATCGTGAACTCACTTTGATAAGTATGCATATCCAGGAGTGATTCAGCTGGTATGTCTATGGTAAATTATCAGTCATATCTATCATCATAGCATCCACAGTACCTGGGATGTCTTATTTGACAGTGACCATAGCACATGTGTTCTTTTTTCCCACTTCCTTTGCAGTATTTAGAAAAATTTAGAGTTGACAAAAAATGTAATCACTAAAAAGGCACTCAAAGCTGGAATTATGGAACACTCCAAATTTTATTTCACTTTGTGAGAAATGAGTCTGGGACCCAAGAAAATGACCACAAAAAATAGAGGACTTGAGCCAGCTTATAAGTTCTATTGAAAATGTATTGTAATGCAAGTGGTTGCCATGACTTACCTTGAGTGGTCAGAGCTTGATCTCATATTACTACATGCCTGGGTACCTCAACGTGGTCCACTTGGTAAGCAGAAAGTACTTGTGAGTAACTCGGGTAACTTTGCACACATATTTGTATTTCATATGTATGTTGGCATTTGAGTTACTGTCTTAGATATGCTGATTATGAAAAATTGTTGTCAGCATGCAAACAATAAAACTCTGTTCTTTATCATCTACCATACACAAACTGCACAAAAAGTGTCATGGATATCAAAATGAGACCTGATACCCTACAAATTCCAAAGGGCACAGTAGAGAAAATCCTCCAACTTTTAAGCACAGGTAAGGGGATTCTGAATAGGACTCTTGTCCAATAGTCCATGAGACCAAAAATCAAGTAATAGGAGCTTATGAAATTAAAACTTTTTATTTCAGCATAAGAAAATATCATTTACATGGGGCATACAGAATATGAGAAAGTCACTGGTGCAATGGTGATGTGAGAGTTACTGTATATTTCACTTCCTGCTGATCTGGTGAGGCCTGTACTCTAGGTAGGAATCAGTACCTGGTCCTGTGTCCATGGTCAAAAGACCATGGAAAAATGAGGCATATATTCCTTTAAGATGATGCTACTGTTGTTACTTTGTGTGACAAGAGTAACGTCTTTGTAAATATTTCCATTTCGATGGATAGATGTCTTCAGCTGTCAGCCTTCGTCAGAGGTTCTTCTTTATGGAGTTCACAGCAGCAAATGCGCAGCCTCATAATTTCATAATGTTGGAATGCCCCTGAATGCTCATTCCTAAATGGGACCTGTAGAGCAACCATTCCCCCTAGACACAGGGGACGTCATGGAAGTGGGTCCTGAATGTCGTGCATGAGGGTGAGGAGGACTGCTGTGACATGCTGTCTTTGGGCATGACCCAGCCACTGCTCACTCACAAGAACTGTGATCACCTGCAGCTTCAGGTGACCATGTTCAGAACTGACCATTAACCTATCTGTCGTGAACCACACAGCTGGAGGAGACAGTCTGCTGGTGGAAGAAAAAGCCTCCTAAGCTTTTGTCTCAGTACAGAAAATAAAAAGAAAGCTCAAAGATGACCATTTGTATTACTTATCAGTTCTCCATTTCTTTGTCTCCCAGGGAAGACTGTCATTCCTATTCCCTCAAATTAATGAGTTTATTGAGATTAATACAGGAATATATGTACAGGATTGCTTACAGGAGTATGAATAACTCATATCTGTAGTATCAGAATGGGGGACTCAGGAAAACTAGAACCATGAACATGTCTGCATGACTTTTTTGCAACTGACTGAGACAGAGGTTCTTATTTCTTCAGTTCTCCGTACTTACCACATAAGTAAGTTTGAGGGCAGAAGGTCCTTACTAATCATTTAGCTCCAGCCTTCCCAGCCATGGTTTAAATGCTAAGTCTTATGAACTTCCTTTCTCTTTCCGTAGAACTTTGTGAGGCTTAAGGAAATTCTCCTACTTAGGGAACAACACACCTGTTGTAAATCCCATATCAAACAGTGAGTGTGGAAAGCATACATTCTCGCTATGAAGAATGATTGGTTTACATTTTGGACTGTACAGCTGCATGCATATATTTATATGCATGTAACCACAATGAATGAAAAGAGAGGTCATAAATGAGAAACAGAGCAAGGGAGAGTGTAGGAAGGGTTTGCAAGGATGAAAGGGAAGAGGAAAAATGCAAGTATAATCTCAAAAATAACAGACACTATTTATGTCAAAACGGGAAAATTGTGATCCTTTTGGCCCTGGATCATTGGGCTACCAGCGGCCCTTTTTAGTTGCTGAGGAATCCCATCAGGACAGGTGAGTGTGTGCTATCCAGGGGCGGACTGTCCCGGAAGAGAGCACAAACCCCCCTCCCCCAGCTCCTTCTGCAGGGCTGTCTTTCTTTTGCATGACCCAGCCCCCCCAGCACCCCTCCCCAACCCTGCCCTGCTGTATGCTAGGACCAGTGCTCAAGAACAGTTTTAAGCTCCTACACTAGGGCTACCCACCCAGAGTGGTGAGTGCCTGCCTACCGGGCAGGCCTCAGGGTCCCCTGTAAGGGAGCCCCGGGCACCTTCAGCTCCAGCGCCAGGCTTCCTGTGCGCACCTGGATACCCCCCCCCCCTTGCTCCATTCATCCTTTTGGCCCTGGATCATTGGGCTACCGGTGGCCCTGTTTAGTTGCTGAGGAATCCCATCTGGACGGGAATGGTTCCTGCTTCTACAGTGAAGAGATATACCCAGAGAGTCAATCACAGCAAAGACTGGACCAAGACACCAGGCCTCTCCTGGCTCCATTTGAAGGAAGAGATGGGAAGGCGCCAATGCAAGAATTACTCCAACAACCTGAAAGGCAACATGACACCACCAGAATTCAGGGACCCAGAAATAAGAAGAATCGTACACCCTACTCCAGAAGAAATAGAAGAAATCGACTCAAAAGTGAACTATATGAAAATAATAGAGGACCTTAAACAGGAGGTGAAAAACTGCCATAAACAATTAGAGATTACAAACAAAAAGGTAGAGGAAATGAATAAATTGCTCAAAGACACGCAAGAAAACCAAGAGAAACAAGAAAAAGCAATCAAACAGGTTAGGGAAGCGGTTCAAGACTTGAAGAATGAAATGGAAGCAATGAAGAAAGCACAAACCGAGGGAAGAATGGAGATGGAAAATCTGGGTAAACGAACAGGAACTACAGAGACAAGTACTAACAACAGATTACAAGAGATAGAAGAGAGAATGTCAGACATTGAAGATACCATAGAGAAAATAAACACACTGATCAAAGAAAACAGCAAAACCAACAAATTCTCATCACAAAACATTCAGGAAATCTGGGACACAATAAAAAGACCAAACCTAAGAATAATTGGAGTAGAAGAAGGAGAAGAAGGGCAGCTCAACGGTCCAGGAAATATACTTAATAAAATTATAGAAGAAAACTTTCCCAACCTGAAGACAGATGTACCTATGAAGGTTCAAGAAGCATACAGAACACCAAATAGGCTGGATCAAAAAAAAAAACATCCCCTTGCCATATAAAAATCAAAACACAAAATATATAGAATAAAGAAAGAATATGAAGAGCCGCAAAGGAAAAAGGCCAAGTTATTTATCAAGGTAAACCTATCAGACTTACACCTGACTTCTCTATGGAAACCA